TCCTGCTGTCTGTGGCTCTAGGGTTGCCTAAAGCAGCGGGTGAATCCAAACCATTTCAACTGACCAGACTGACTCGCTGGTGAGAACCCCCAGCAGCCGGACTGTCGGCATCAAACCAGCAGGGACTTTCTCTGCTAACTGCAACAGGAGGTTTTTGTCTGAGCTCAGACCAGCTTTGCCTCACTGTGTGTCTTGCACAGTGATACCGGGCGGTGTCCTCGGGCTTCAAGCCGGTCATTTCCAGGTACAACAGGCTGTTGGAGTTGTCCCTGGAGATGGTGAATCGACCCTTAACGGAGTCAGCGTAATATATAGTGGTGACATCAATGAAAGCGATCCACTCCAGTCCCTTCCCGGGAGCCTGGCGGACCCAGCTCATCTGGTGGCTGCTGAAGGTGTATCCAGAACCCTTGCAGGAGAGGCGGAGAGAGTCTCCGGGCTTTTTCACATCCCCTCCAGACTCCACCAGCTGCACCTGGGACCAGACACCTGGAAATAAAGACAGGTTACAAATTACTCCAATTGCAATGGCAACAGTGTAATGTTCCCCTGTTCCCCCAGCACAGTTACGGGGCTAAAATACCTTCTAAAGCCGCTACAATGAAAAACAAACGGATCCAAAGGCCCATTTTCCCTGGTGTTGGAGGGGAAAGTTCTCAGGGGAATTGGCTGAGAACTGCACAGACACAAGCAGCTCTGGATTATCTCTACGGGTGCAGCCTAGGCAGAGAGAGAGAGAGGGATGTAAATAGGAAACTCTCACCCCTATTTGCATATTCTCCTCCTTTTAAGAGAAACAAAATCTGATGTGATGTATTACATGCAGTAGGACTCAGAGGGAGGGAGTCCGATTATTCCAGACTGTGTGTTTGTACAGCGCCAAGCACAGTGTGATGGGATGCTAAGTACACTTTTGACAAAGGAAAAATAAAGAGATGCCTGGAAGGTTCTTGATTCCCCAGAAGGAAATTTTGGGGCCGGATTACAGCCACGTTATTTGGCCGTGGAAGACTCAGAGATGCCTGGAGAGACTGGCCGTATAATGAGGAAAATTATGTTTTAAATCTGTTATAAAAGAAACAAATGACTGAGGTTGACTCTTAAGGGAGTAAACATATGAATGAAGGTTGTGTGTGGGGTGGGGTGTGAAACTCAGCTCAGTGGGGCTGTGGAACGGTGAGTGTTAGAGTTAGTGACTGGGGAGGAGTCGGGTCACCCACCCCCTGGAGAGTGAAGATAACTTGGGGCTCTGGGAGTGAGCTGGGATCGAACCCCTGTTCACACCCCTTCCCAGCAGGGACCGGCTCCACTGACACGTGCCAGAGGGAACTATTTCCTGGCAGGTTCAGACACCTGGATCAGGCCACATGGCAATGTTCTCACTCCCAGGAGTGCCTTCGTTTATGTCAGTAAGACCAGTGGTGTTTGGGGGGGGGGGAGGGCATGGAAGTAGGTTGTGCTCGACATTGGTGCTCTGTGGGAGATTACCATGGACCCGTGGAGTTTAAAGCTGCTGTCATATGTGCGTCCACCCTGATGCCCCTTCTCATGCCCGTCCCACAGCTGTGCTCTGCATGTGTCACTCCTGCCCCCCTCTGCCGTGTGAACAGGAATGATACAACCCTGCGGTGAGCCCGGGGCAGGGCAGCCCCCGACTCACTGGAGGGGGGGGCGGGTTGGTGCTAAAGGAGAAGATATCTTGGGTTATTGGAGTTAAGGGATATTTTATTGTACATCGCTCTGCACCTCAAACCACTGACATTGTTCAAAAAACTGGGACAGGGACAATGAGGCAGAATCAGACACGGAGGAAGAAAGTGAATTGTGATATCAGACTGGTGAGCCCTGGGTGGGAGGGAGAGGAAGTGAGAGGGGATTTAGGGAGGGGAGAAGTTACTCTCATGTTTCGGCCATGGTGCTGTCCCACTCAGGTGCACGATCCCCCCCAAAAGCGGGGAGGTCTCAGCCCCCCCACACCCAGCCAGAAGTGCTCCCCTACGTTCCCTTGGGTTTTTATTTATTTATTTTTTGGTTCGTCGGGGCAGCGCTGAAGGGCTTTTTTTGTTTCTACGGTGCAGCGTGGCGCTCAGGGGGGTGGGGCTTCGGGTGGCATGGCACTCAGGGGGCGGGGCTTCGGGCAGCGCGGTGCTTGGGGGATGGGCTTCAGGCGGCGCGGTGCTGGGGGGGCGGGGCTTTGGGTGGCGTGGTGCTGGGGGGCGGGGACTTACGCAGCGCTCGGGGAGTGGAACTTCAGGCGGCGTGGTGCTCGAGGGGGCGGGGATTTTGGCGGCACGGCACTGGGGGGGTACGGCAGCACACGCGGTGGGGGGGGTGTATGGCTACTGCCTCAATCGCCCTTGCTTTCACACCAAGGGTTTACCCAAGGTGCAGTGCGGCTGTGATTGTGCAGATTTCACTCACTCAGACTGCGGGGACAGGAACCCCTTAGTCGG